GACCGTAGCGGTTAGTCTCCGTTCAACTACACCCATACCCACACCCAGCTTATAAGGGTTAAGTTACTTTTATGTGCATAATACGACGATATTCAAAAATAGGGCTCAATCTTCTATTCTAACAGGGGTCTCTGGGTGTGGGTGTGGGTGTGGGTGTGGGTGTGGGTGTGGGTGTGGGTGTGGGTGTGGGTGTGGGTGTGGGTGTGGGTGTGGGTGTGGGGTGTGTGGGTGTGGGTGTGGGTGTGGGTGTGGGTGTGGGTGTGCGTCGGGGTGTGGGTGTGACCGTAGCGGTTAGTCTCCGTTCAACTACACCCATACCCACACCCAGCTTATAAGGGTTAAGTTACTTTTATGTGCATAATACGACGATATTCAAAAATAGGGCTCAATCTTCTATTCTAACAGGGGTCTCTATTTTTGTCTGGAATGAGCATTGTCTGTGCCCTGATCAACGTTTTATAATACTTGGTAGAATATATTTTGAAACTGATTAGTTAAGAGAAAGAGATGTTTACCAAAAAAATGATGGTTTATCGCGGTCGAGTTTCAATTGATCGGTTTTCTAACTGGAATCGATATTAAATTTTTGAATTCGATGATTTCTATAGTCAGCAACATAAAGATTGCCATGCCGATCAAATGACAAACCCCAAGGATTTTGGAGCTGATTTGATTGTCTTTTGTATGCATTTTCACCAACGACAACAGTACCTTGCGTGGCCCCTTTGGACCAACGTATCACTCGATGATTACCGCAATCTGCCACATAGACAGCACCCGATTGATCGACGACCACTCCACGAGGACTAGACAATTGTGTCAGAGTGCTTCCTGCACCTTGTCCACCAGCAACAACAATGCCTTCTTTTGCATCTTTTATCCATTTCATCACCCTATTATTGTTTTGATCTGATACGTATACTGAATGATCCTGATCGACGACGATGTAGTAGGGATGATTGAGCTGATTAAGACTATTACCTTGACCATTTCCACCTGCTACTACTGTTCCAATGGTATTTCCTATTTTCCATCGTCTCACTTCATGTTTACTGGCGTCACAAACATAAAGATATCCTTCATCATCCAGTGTCAAGCCGTAGCAGTTAACATTTGAGATGATGGTTTGTACACTTTTACCATTTCGACGAGACCATCGCACCACTCGGTGGTTGTCCTGATCAGAGATGATAAACGAGTCATTCTCTTTGTCAACAACCACATCTTTGGGATCACTCAATTGATCATTTCGTTGACCGTTTCCATTTCCACCAGCAACTACTTCACCACTTGTTGCACCACTCTTCCATTTCACAATACGATAATTGTAACGGTCCACAACATAAACACTTTCGTCATCATCAATGTACAAACCTAATGGGCTACTGAGTTGGTTGACTCCGTCGCCTGCCCCATTTCCACCAGCTACGGTGATACCATTGGGTTTCCATTTCGCATTGATACCAATATTTGGAATACATAATTGTGCTGCAAGTAAACATAAGTTCTTATTGTTAATTGATACTAATTTCCTTATTCTGATCATTATACATGTTATCAAAAATTACAAGAATCGCCCTTATTAATATAGACCAAGATCAGTTTATCCAATAGTATTAAACATGAAATTTGGATTCAAATATTCAATTATTACTCCCTTAAGGGTCATCCGAAAAGGGTTTTCTCTCACCCTCATCCGCTTTTTGCGGTTATGCTCTTATTCGCAGTTTTCTTATGGCATTTTGTTTTTATTCTTCCTCCTTGGTGCTGAAGGGATTTCAGCTCATCTCCAAGGAGGCTTTGTCCTCAAAGTATTTTGTCCGCCTCTAAATATTCAATCATTGAATGATTGGATACTTGAGTTCAAGTTTGACACATGTAAGATTGAGTATTAACATGAAATTTTTTGTACACAACAGCCCATAATGATCAAATCAAATCAAATCTGACTGGTAGAATTACCCGATATTACATTGACAGAAATTTTATTGATAAGTGGCGTATCTTGTCGAAGATTAATATTTGCTGGTTTATGGAGTTCGTTCGTTAGTCGTGTTAATTCTTCACTCCATTGACGTAAATCTGTTTCGTAAAAATCATTTTCTTGACGACTTTCTCTCAGTTGGTTAGTCAATTTATTTAGTTTAATTTCTATTTCATTTAAATATTCAGCAGTGTGTGCTAGTAATAGCTGTCTGGCTTCTTCTGCTGTTTTTCGAATGTCATTGATTGAATCACGTTCCCACTGATCAACTTGTTGAATCAATGCATGTTTTTTCGGATCCCTTGTTTGTTGAGTAAGGGTTTGTCGAAAGAGATCACGATTAACTTCAATTTCATCTAATGCTTTGCTTAGCTCTTGTCGATGATCTGTTATATGATTAAAACAAAAATCTTGTGAACATCCTCCACATTTCATTATGGCTTTTTCTTTGCCACAAGTAATACAGCGTGGTTTACCAGTTGATGTTGCCATTTATTGACTGCTCTGATGATGATGTGTGTTGAGAATAGTAGTTCGGAAGAGAATGAATAGAAGAAGGCAGTAATGTTTTGCGATAATGTGCAAATATGCGACGCAAAAAGCAGTACGCGTCAGTGTCAATAAACTTTCAACATGCAGTCAACGAATGAAAAAGATTTTTTGTCAGAAGGTAAACGTGCACACAATAATGTTATGTGTGGGAGCGAGTATGGGTGTGGGTGTGAGAGTGGTGTGTCGGTGTGACTAGGTGTGCATCAGTGCCAGTAACTGGGTCCCAGTCCGACTGGATACCCAGTCCGACTGGGTACCCAGTCCGACTGGACACCCAGTCCGACTGGGTACTTAGTCATTTGACGTTTATTTCGCTAATCTATCGGTATTTCCCTCTTTTCTAAGGGTGTGGGTCTGGAGGTTGGTTTGACGTTGGTATGGGTGTCGTTATTGCCATTCTAACTATTCCCGCATCCAAACAATATCCACACCCATATCCATCCAAACAACACTCACATCCACAAGCCAACCACGCACATCTACACCTTAGCCATACCCACACCCTGGAAACATGAAATTCATTTATAGTATTCTAAATTATAACGATTGATATATAGAAATATATGATTAGCCAATGGATTTAGTATCATAACTTATTTCACTACTTCAACAGCCTAAAAATCACTCTATGGCAATATACTCGAAAAGAAAGTACTACTTGACTAATAGACTAAATATCAAAGGACTCCGTACCCAGTCGGACTGGACACCCAGTCCGACTGGGACCCAGTTCACAAGTCAGAACTGGGGCTGGTGCATCCCTAGGTGTGACTGCGGGTGTGGAAGTAGGGTGTGGGTATGGTGTGGGCGTGGTGTGTGTATTGTATTCATACGCAGTTCACTCACACACCCACAACTATACTCTACCGTCTTTTGCTTAGTAAAATTTGATTCATATTATGGAGATGTAAAATTATTGAACAATCTTTATTGAAGGTGTGAGTGCGGGTGTGGGTGGGTGTGGGTGTGGGTGTGGGTGGGTGGGTGTGGGTGTGGGTGTGGGTGAGGGTGTGGGAGTGTGGGTCTGGGTGTGGGTGTGTGGGTGGGTGTGGGTGTGGGTGGGTGGGTGTGG